CAAGGGGAAGAGAAAGGGGGCGCGAAGGAACTCAGGAGACTGGAGATGGGGGCAGAAGGGCGTCCGCGGGAAGGCAGCGGGAGGGAGCGCGCGAAGAAGGGGCGCGGAGGACGCGGAGGGCGCGGTGGGGGCTGGAGTGCTGCATTTCTGGGGGAGGTGCTAAGCTCGGATCCTGGCCCTTCCTACCCCGCCGCCGCAGGGAGGGAGGGGGCCCGGGCGTGCGGATCCTCGCGGTCCCGCGGTCCCAGCAACCCCATCCAGAGTCCGGGAGCCTTTTGGTCCCAGAGTCTCTGGCCAAGGACAGGTCTAGATACCCTGAAAGGCAGCAGGACGGTGACCTGTCGCTGCCTGCCCGGCCGTCTGGGGGTCGATCTGCCTCCCTGGCACCCATCACTCGCACTTAAACCTGGTCGCAAGCCCCCCTGGAAGGCAGAAATGTCGGTCGTGGATTGCTCTCCAGAATGCGTAGCCCGGCCTCGGGGCTGTCTCTGCCTGTCCAGCATGCTGCGATGGAAGCCAATCTTCGGGTCGCTCGCCACCAACCGCTCTCCAACTGTGTGCAGAATGGAGGCGAAAGGTTGGCTTTTCGCTTTCTTTTCGTTTGGCGGGTCTGGAAGGAGGCAGGATTCGGTGAGGGCATCTGTCCACAGCCTCGTAGCGGGTCTGCGAATGCCCGCGCGGTAGAGGGGCTTAGCCAGTGTCCAGCGCGGAGAAAAGACGCGCTCGCAGCGGGCCCAGGCGCACGGAGGCGCGCGGTGCGCTCGGGCTTTTGCTCGCACGGCGGCTGCCGGCCATGAAAACCTAGACCGTTCCTGTTGAGTGGGGTGTGCGTGTGGCGCGTGCAAGAATAAGAGACAAAGACCAACACTGTATCAGATAGTGAGACGGGCTGGATCTGAGCGGATTCCCAGGGTGAGATTTGGTAACAGTGTTCATGTAAATGTGCAGTTTCGTTCACATTTGAACCTGGATGTGCACAGAGCTTGTGTGTTGGATTTCGTGTGCATACGTTTCCAAATGGATTGCCTGCGTTTTTGCCGGTGTGAGTCCTTTCCTAATTGTGCCTCCCTGCGGGTCCGGGTCCGCCGCTCCATATGGGTCCTGGTATGTGTTCCCAGCTGGACTCTCGCTCAGACCCCTCCTAAGCAGTAAACAGCACCCTTTGCCACCCCGCTGCCCCAGCCCAGATGAAGGAGGATTAGCGGCTGTGAGTGGGGGCCTGTGGGGTGGGGAGAATCAGAAGGAAGAAAAAAGGCCCCTCCGTCTTTCCCATTCTGAGGCCCTGAGTCTGGGAGAACCCCAGTGTCCTCCCCTGCAGAATTTCTAGATTAGCTCACGTCAGCGCACAAGTAGGGCGGCCTGAGGGCTTTGACCAGGACAATAGCCCCCCCCCTCCCCATCAGTCCCCTCCTCCTCCCCTCTGCCTTACAGTCTCCCGGAATCTCCTCTCCAATTAGGAAACTTCCACCACATTGGACAGAGATGTTCCTAAAACCTCCCAATATACCTCTTAAATTCTCCCAAGAGCCTACTTGGCAGAAAACAAGACCAACCCCCCCAACCTGAAGACCCCCACTATGACCAGAAAAGCTGTCCATAGAGACCTTCCCCAGACAGATCCTCAGAATCATGATAGGATTCGGTACAAAGACAGGACAGAGATCCTTCCTCCCACCACAGATTCTCTCCTCCGGAGAGGCTTTGAAATAGAACTGATCTCCCATCCCAGAGATTTGGCCTTACACAGTGACCCTCCCCACCCTAGTCCCCAGATTCTGGGGAGAAAGGACCTTTCCCCCAGATTCCTACAGACAAAGATCATCACCTCCTAATTTTCATTCCCTCCACTTCTGCTCCCTGGTGAAATTCTTTAGGCGCCCACCAGATGATCTGGGTGGAGACTGGGGTTCCATAGTGCCCCCCATACACACCCAGACCTGAAGGTAGCCATCGAGGCCTTCTCTGACAAGTGAATCAATGGCATACATGTATCAGTTGGTCATTGCCAATTTGTGGATTTTTATGAGGGTCCAAAGTATTTACTTTCTTTCCTTCTCCTTTATGATGATCACTGCTGTGGGACCCAAGGGGGACTGTGACGTTCTTTCGGTAGTGAGAAATTCATTCATTAACCGTTCATTCAGCAAACCATCTCACAGCCCTACTATGCATGTGGCTCTCTTCTGGCTGTTGTGGGAATCACCAAGATGACCCAAGAGTAGTCCTGCCTGTGCTCTCCACCCCAATTCTTGTGTCTAGGGGGCACCTCTGACAGCATTCAGTCCAATGCTCCTTTCTGCAATGCTTAAACCATCCTTAAAACCTCCTAGCAGAGCCTTTCTTTCATACGTTCATCCTCAGTGTGCAGATAAGCAAACCCGGGCCTGGCAGTGAGGTGTCCTGCTCAAGGTCACAGAGAGCCCAGGGTACAGGCAGCCTAGGGCCCAGAAATCCTGATGCCCCTCCAGTGCCTTCCCTTTCACGACCTCATCTTGTCCTTCTATCTCCTCTCCCTGCTTATTTGGTGTCTGGCCACTTTGCTGTCAAAAAAGATGAAATTCAAAATCAGATTCCAGGTTTTCTTTTTTGCTATAATTAGATCCAGCCACTGGGGTGTGTGGCGGGGGGAGGGGGTGGGGGGGGATTTCTCTGTTTACCTTCTTTCCTGGGCAGCAAGCTCAGAAGCAGCCCATCCTGTATTGAAAGGCCATGTTGTTCCATCATATACTAGCTGTGTGACATTGGAATACTTAGCTTTTCTTACTTTCCATTTCTTATAAATAAAATGTGAAAATAACCTCACATTGAGAGGATTCTAGGAGGTATTGCATATAAAATGCTTAGCATGTTCTAAGTGCCCAATATGTGGTAGCAATTATTTTATTATTGTTGCTGTTGTTACTGTTATATCCAATGGCCGTTTCTCATTGTTTGGGGGAAAGTCAGTGTGCAAGAAAAAGCCTATGATTGGTTCGAGAGCCGGAGTGAGTTCTGTCTTTGCCCCACCTCCCTGTCCTCGCCCCTCTAGTCCTGCGTTGACCTGAAGGGAAAGAAATGGAAGACAAGGGTAGGGCAGAGGGCAGGGGACCTGGCAGGCAGCCCCAGGAGACAAACAGGACGACCTACCTAGCTGGTAATGAGTTGAGCTGTGCTCTAGTGAAACCATCAACCTCCAAATTCTCCAAAAAGCTCCTCTAGGGGCACCCTCATGAGAAGAATTTGCAGCAGCTTGGCCCCCTGAGTTGAAACACAACGCACAACATGCACACACACACTCACGCACAGAGAATGACAAGCCAACTGACAGGTGCACAAAGAAATGAGGCCAACACACAGATTCAAGCACACGGGCAGATTTACACAGATCGACAGAGCAACACGCACAGGCCAAGGACAGGCTGGCACACAGACAGACACACACGAGATTTGTATCAAGACTGCCTGCCACACAAAGAAACCAGGACAGGCACCCCTAGACCCATTCCCATAGGCAGAATTGCTGGGTGACAGGCTTAGATGCACAGCAGTGCAAGGACAGGCATAGACATGGAAAGTCAAACACACAGCGACAGATACCCAGACACAGGAAAACACACACACACACACACACACACACACACACACACACACACATATATATAATTCACACTGAGACCAACAGTCAGGCACCCACCAATGAAAGAAAACTATATGGTCACTGAAGGGGAAAAGAGGAGAGAACAAAGTGAGGGAAGGGGGCAGAGGAGACATAAAAGGAACACAGCGGAGGAGGGCACAGGGAGACAGAGCAGGACATGCCAGCAGAGGTGCCTCCCAGCAGGGCACAAAAGAGACAGAGGTGCCACAGCCTTCCTCTCGGCCAGTGCCAGAACCCAGATCTGGGACAAAGGAAATGTAGGCTGGGTGGCTGTGTGGTGAGGGAGCTGGAGCTGTCCCTGCTGCTGATCTATGAGGAGTAGGGACAGAGGCTTTCATCCTAGGGCCAGACAAGTCCTACTGTCTTGAGGTGGGGGTGGGTGAGGGGCTCCTGGGACTCCTGCCAAGCCCCATGAAGCAAGGACTGTGTTCTGGATCAGTCCTGCAGCCTGAGCCCCGGTGAGATGCACACCCCTCTTCCCACAGGAGATCCATCTCTCTGTTTTTGATGCCTTCAGTACCCAAGGGGTTAAACGCCTGGCGAATGGAGATGGAGGCCACTTTGGGGGAATAAATAGGGTTAAATACAACTGGGCTTATCTCCCGGAGCAGGCAGCAACATGGGGGTGGGGCACAGAGCCCTTGAATTAATGGCCTGGAAAGCCAACATCATGAGCATCATTTCGGGGCTGAATGATCACAGACAGAACCCCCCTTCCCTTTCCAAAGCAAGTTCTGTCCGTGAGCCTTTTCCTGCTGAAAGGACAGGCACTGGCTCTAGAAATCATCCTCCCCTCTTCAAGCCAGGGCATTGCCCCAAACCCAAACCCAATTTCCTGATCCTGTGCCCACAGGCACAAGGTAGGAGAGAGGCAGCAAGGTTGAGGGCTCCAAGTGGGCAGCCCAGGCCCAGAACAAAAACCCTGATTCTT